AGGTAAGCAGCCACTTAGGGCCCTGGGGATTTAGGGGTTCTGACCAATGTCTAGAAGCCTATATTAATCATATAGCTCTATTATGCATTCTCTAAAACCTGTCTATAACTGGTAAGATTTTAACTAGAGGTGTAAACGTACACTGGTCCTAAGGTTCGGTTACGATTATCATGCCATTGATTCGGTTCAATTCGATATCTCGGTGCATCACTATGCATTGACGATAATTTCCATACACAGTTTAATATTTAGGGGGTGGGACTATAAAAATTTGTCTGTATAAACACACATAGACAACAGTGTTGCCAACTTATCAGTTTTGTTGCTAGATTCAACAACTTTTCGTACTACCCTAGCAACTTCGTACTACCCTAGCAACTACTTCAACAACTTTTTCAAAAAGCACCTAGCAACAAATTTTGCAATTTTTAACATTAATTTGTCTACTTTTAGCAATTTTTAAAAAGTGACTCAAAACAGCAATGACTTGCTGGCTTCACTCGGTAGAGTAAATTCCTAGCTCAGGCTGTTTACTTATTGATATTCGTCAACATGTATAATCGTTGACAATTAGGGTAGCAATAAATTCCAATAGGGCTAATTGTTGTCAGAAGATAAAAAGAGTAAGTACACAAGCTCTTCATTATCAGTGTTATATTTAAAAATAAAAAATTCTTATCAAAAAGTTTTTGTATTACTTTTACAAATAGTCAACTCTATTTTTTATACAAATCTTGCTGTGATGGCCAGTCAATTTGAGAAAACAATAATCATTTTGTATACTACATAAAGATGTAGTTTTGAGTTGCGATTACGCAAAGACGTCATCACGCAAAGTAACATGCTAATACTAACCTGTTTATTGTGCATCTGGATGTAATGTTTTAATATAATATAATAGACGGCTCCTCAGATAGTAGAGACGTGGTGGGCTTACGCTTGTTAGATACTAAGTAATGATGCAACTGATATGCAAATAAGCGTGTGAAGCCATCTGGAAATATTTAGCTTTTTTTGGACAGGCTTTAGCTACTTTTCATTGGAAATAGTTGGCAACATTGATAGACAAACAGCATCACGCTGTCTCTTACTCACAAAAATACATGCACAAACAAACAGACAGCACCAAACAAGCAACACACAGCATCACGCTCTTTCTCATACACACACACACACACACACACACACGCACACACACACACACACACACGCACACACACAAACACACACACACACACACACACAAACACACAAACACACGCACACACACACAAACACTCGTGCTTGTTCACTCGGGAGCACCCACTCCTGTTCAAATTAGACCCGAGTTACTGACCGCTCCCGTGCTTTATTCGGAAATTTATTCCCGCGCTGCAAGAAATTTGATCAAGTCCCATATCTCCCGTGGTATAGCTGCGGAAATGCAGACCTCTATTCCAAAGTATCCCTGTATCAGTCGAGAGGAGAGGAAAAGTCATGCCAGCAGGTTAAATGGGCCATAAGTAGGAGCTTCTGCTGTAGGTGTCAGTGAAAGACTGTCTAGCAAACACATACACAGTGAAATTATGAATGGTGGCAGTGAAATTGTAAATACGGCAGCTACAGTAACATAGCAAAAATTAGATAAATGATGTCATAACTGGTTATGATTATTACTGAACCGATTGTGAATTGTCCGCATTTGCATCGCGATGCACCAAAAAAACTATTAATTTTGACACCCCTAATTTTAACATTATTACTTTTTCAAAATCGCGGTCCCCCAAGAACAGTGGAACATACCACAAACAATGAAATGCAGCTTCCTCAGCCTCCTGCTTTCTGTCCAAAACACCTGTTGGACAATAAGCGATGTGAGCTTGTTAAAAGAAAGACCCAGTGACAGTAACAGCCGCCGATTCACCAACCGATATTATTTAATTCATTTGACAAATTGTAACAAAATTTGTTTGATTGATTGTAAATTAAATTTGTTTAAATGTTTATTATTATTATAAATATTAAAATCCAATCACCAAATTACCTGTATTTAGTTTGTGAACTTTTATTTGTGAATTTATTGCATTTAACTTTACATTAAGAAGATAAAGGTTCCTGTAAATAGAAAATATAATAAACCATTTAAAATATACATTACGATTAGACTATACTATACCTAAAGAGAAAAAAAAAATCTATAGAGAAAGAGAATGGCCCAATGCCTGGAATTGCTTAAGTCCGCCCCTGTACCTGTCTATTATTAAGAAATTAACTGTTTAATAGCACTTATATAGCTTGATCCTGTTTTAAATCCATAACAATACCAAAACCCAACTATTAACTATTAAAAAGCAGCTAATTGTTAGTTTATTGAGCTTAAAGTCTAATTAAAAGGTTTGTTATTGGCATGAAGTGTATATTACATTTTGTGTGACCATCTTTGCACTGCTGATTAGATTAGAATATCTTTATTGTCCCTGAAGGTTTACAGCAATATCTGACAGTTGACAGTCACAAGTCACAATCAACAACATAAAATAACAGTAAACAATACAAATAATCATGGAGAGAAAGGAAAAAGAAAAAAAGAAACGTAAATACAAAAATCTGTTGGACCTTGCCCGTCTAGAATAAGTATAGGCAAAACTTTAAATAAAGTAGGTGGTTCTCATCTGCTAAAAGAACATGGCCTTTTTTATGAGTCTCACCTCATACACGTGTCCAATTCTATTAAGATTTGTGCCTAAGATCTCTTGAGATTGATGAACAATTTTTGAAAGTCTTTTTTTTACTTGTCACCCTCAAATTACCATACCAGCATTTCACTGCAAAAGTTAATGAGACTCAATCAAAGAAGAATAAAATGTCCTAAGAAGAGGCCTTTCCACATGAAATCCCTTCAACTTCCTCAAGTAAAACAGTCTTTGATTTGCCTTTTTACCGATAAAATTTTTGTTGTCTTCAGTTTATCATCCAAAATGGTGCCCAGGTATTTATACTCACTCATTGTCTCAACAACAATACCATTTATAGTTGTTGTCAAAGCATTAGAAATAAAGTTGTGGCGAAAATCAACAAGCATCTCTTTAGTTTTTGAGATATTAAGATGTAGCATTATTCACACTATATATACTATATATACACTTTAAATTAAAATGACTGTGCTCCTTTATCCCTATTTAAAATGGTCAGAGCTACAGATGTCCATGTATCAGCATAGTGGCAGATTCAGATTAATGGGTGGGGTTCTTCCCTCTGATGACACATACAAAGGGAGAATGTCAATAGTCAATAAAAGTGTTTCTGCAGACGTTATTATAAAATGTGGTTGTATTAATTATTAATTATATATTTTTTACTATTAAAAGCTGGTTGCATTTACACATTGTTGCCACATAACTGTCTTAAAATTCTTTTTGAAAGTAATTTTTACCTAATAGGGCTCCTTTAAACAGTGGACTAAGACAAACTTTATTGAGTTACAATATCATGAGTGAAGGCAAGGCAAGTTTATTTATATAGCACATTTCATACACAGGGGTAATTTAAAGTGCTTTACATAAACTGGAATAAAAGATAGAAAGTATAAGAACATTAAAAAGAATAAAAATGATTAAAAGCTAATTAAAATGTGTTAAAACGGGTTATAAAATAACGAAAAATGAAAGAAAGACACAATAGTGTGATCTGTCGCATGTATCACAATGCTCATTCAGTAAAAACACAGCTAAACAGATGTGTTTTCAGTCTGGAAGTGAATGTGCCTAATGTTGGAGCACATCTGATTTTTAGGAAGCTGATTCCAGCAGTGAGGGATGCAGTAGCTGAAAGTCGATTCACCTTGCTTTGACTGAACTCTTGGAATCTCTATTTTTTTATCCATAAGTTCTGAGTGATCTGTTAGGTTTGTATTCAGTGAGTGAATCTGTCTAATACTATAGTAATACTATAAAATCTTTTCTGAATGTAACTGTGAGCCAGTGTAGGAGACCAGGCAGCAGCGTTCTGAATGAGCTGTAACTGTCTGACTTTTGGGAAGGCCGGTTAGGAGTCCATTACAGTAATCCACTCTGCTGGTGATAAAAGCATGAACAAGTTTCTCACAACAAAACAAAGTGTCTATTTCTTGCAATGTTTTTGAGATGATAGTAAACTGATTTAATCAGATATTTTTTATGAAATTCATTTTAGATGAAATTAAAATAAATATGAATTTAGGATGGAAGATTCATAATCAAGATGTGAGTAAATCACATTTAAAAAACGAGTAAATGGCAGTAATTCAATATTGAGATGATATATGATGAAGATATATAGTATATGTGTGTAAACCTGTAATTTGCCAAATTTGTAAAGTACTTAAAAACTTTGAAGATTCACCTGGAGAAGTGTGTACACTCTAAAAAAAAATTCCGTAAAAAAACGGTAAAATGTACTGGCAGCTCATTACACAAATATTTTACCGTAAATTAAAAACGGAAAACTTCTGTTAATTGACAGTGTCCACATTAAAAAAACTAAAAAATATCCGTTTTTTGACGGTTAAACTACTGTAAAATAATGAAACATTTTATAGTAATTTAAGGGTTTTCTATATAAAAAACGGCTATTTTCTGTGTTTTTAAGGGTATACCAACAGTAAAAAAGCGGAAATATTTTGTGTTTTAATAGTATACCTACTGTAAAAAAACAGACAGATTCTGTGTTTTAATAGTATACCTACTGTAAAAAGAGGACTTTTTTGTTTTTTAATAGTATATATACACAGTGAAAAAATGAACAGATTCTTTGTTTTAATGGGATACCTACTGTAAAAAAAAAAATTATTTTGCTAATTTAATGCTCTTCAAGCAGCATAGAAATGGCAGTTGGTAAGGATAAACATATACATATGGGAAATACACTATTAATGGTTTACCATAGTAAAAAAAAACATTTATTCTATACTGTATGTATAAAGAAGCAGTAAATAGTTTGTTAACTGTGAACTTACAATTAGTACAAAAACAACTTTGCAATTAAAACAGATTCTTTAATGAATACAAATCATTTGAATTCCAAATAGCTAGTTATACACACAATAATACATATTGACATGTGAATCACACAGTGAGAAGTCTTGGCAAATAATTTCATAGCAAATTAGTTTTAAATGTTAGCTTTAAGATAATTGAGGACAAGTGGGCAAATTACAAGTACTTTACATTAAGAAACCAGGTTAAACTGCAAGATGGCAGGAAACGGACGATACAACTGGGTCTTCTTCCGCTCCAATACTGATACTTCAATGGCTGTAAAAAAAAAAAAAAAAAACATTACTAATGACATTACACTTACAACTGGCGGGATTCCTTGCATGTCAATAGTTTACACAAATGGAGGTTTTATCATCATCTTCTTATCTCACTCTTGTAATTTCAAGCCTGTCTGACTGACATACTTCCACAGAACAAAGTAGGAGAAATAGGAGCAACATTCTTTAAAATATGATATTTTGTGTTTTGTAGAGGAAACAAAGTCATACAGGTTTAAAATGTCAAGAGTGAGTAAATTATGAATTATCAATTATTCAGTTTTGGGTGAGAAATCACTTTAAGATTTTTCAAAATAAAGTGTAGGTACTTTTGACAATATTCGGAACAATAATGCAAGAGAGAAACAGTAATATAAACAAACTATGCTGGTAACACTATAATAACTACAGGCTATGATTCATTTATGAAGCATTAGCAAATAGTGAATTCATTATCTGTTAAGCATTGACTCTAAATTAATAGATGTTAGCAGTCGGTTATAAATACAGCTGCAAAATTTGCTACAGCTACAGTTTAATAATTGTGCTATCAAACTTTAATGATTGATTTTACATTACTATTTATATATATATATATATATATATATATATATATATATATATATATATATATATATATATATATATATATATATATATTATATTATATTTAATATTGCATTATTTACAAAACTTCTTCCAGTTGTGGCCTAATCTGTGAGGATTATTTATGATTTATAAATCCTTATAAACGACAGTTAAAGGCTCAGTATCAAATGAACATTAAATCATTACAGTCTTATCTAAAAAATGTAATTACTGTAAATATGAAACCTTGCTGAATAGCTGGAGTGCCAAAATATAACATAAAACTGGATAAAACAACACTAAAATAATTTAATGATATTACGATGCAACATTTCAGTGTTATTTAGCTATGTTTAAACTGTACAGTAATTTTATTTTAGATAAGATTTATTTTTCATTTAATACAATAAAATGAATTTCATTTTTAGAATATAACTGAATCTTTAATTGTGATTTATAAGGGGATTTACAAAGCATAAACAATCCTCACTTTAGGCTACAAAACTGGATGAAGTTAACAAAAGCACTTATTAAAATAAATATTGTATATACTTTATATACTTATTTTTTGTACTTTATTTACAAATATAACTATTACAATTCATTCATGTATTTTCCTTCAGCTTAGTGTGTACTCACACTATGTATAGTTGCCTTAAACCAGGCCGAAGCACTCTTGTCTTCCCTCCCATCTCCCCTGACGTCCCGCACTCACATTGCATTCGAGCCTGAGCACTCTTACATCATCGATGATGCGCTGTTTAGTTTAGGAAGTGCTCTCAGAACGGAGGAGAATTCTTTAGTTATATTGTTTTAGTCGTTTGGGATGCAGTAACACGCTGTCAAATATTTCGCCGAACAGATCAGCCACTTTTGATGTTAATAAACAATCATACATTCCTTGTGCTGCAGGAATAGGAGGTTTGCTAAAGGCGCAGCTGTGGTGCAGTAAGGGGTTTGCGTTCATTGAACAGTAATAGTGGGTAATTTATCTAAATCAAAGTCCCTTGCAAACTGTCATAGATTAAAGACACAAACCCCTCACTGCACAACAGCTGCACCTTTAGCAAACCTCCTAGTACCTGCAGCACGTTGACTTTGATTGTTTATGAGCGTCAAAAGTGGCTGATCTGTTCGGCGAAATATTTGACTGCGTGTCACTGCATACTGAACAACTAAAACGATATAACAATATAAAGAAATCTCCACTGTGCTGAGTGAGAGCACTTGTTAAACTGAACAGTGCATTATTGATGATGTAAGCATGCTCAGGCTCGAATGAAATGTGAGTGCAGGTCGTCGGGGAGACAAGCACGCTTCCAGTTTCAAGGCAACTGTGCATAGCATGAGTACGCCCTTGAAAACACCCATACACACTTATTTACAAAACACACTCATACACTACAGCCAATTTAGTTAATCAATTTCCCTATAGCTTATGTCTTTGGACTGTGGGGGAAACCTGAGCACCCGGAGCTCTTCTTGCTGTGAGGCAACAGTGCTAGCCAATGAGCCACTGTGCTGCCCAACTATTACTATATGCCTGAATAATAAGATATATAAATGTTAGTTTGAATAGTTTATTAACCATTTACTTACACATTCTGAATGATTCGAAAAAAAAAATACACCAACTATTCTTAAATCACTGGTTTGTAAATAATGCTATACTAAATATAGTAATGAAAAAATAATCATTAACAAAATATAAAAACAAAATCATTAAGCACATTATAGATGTGCTTATAAGTCAAGATTACAGCATTTGCAGCTGTAGTTATAAACTGTATACTCAGGTCTGTTAATGTAGAGTTAATGCTTAACAGAACCTTTTGCTAATGCTTAATAAATTAATCAATAGTGTTTAGTTATTATAAAGTATTACTGGTGTGCTTAATTACCTTTAAATCTTCCAAGGATTCTGAAAGTCTTTCTGGTCTGACAGGAATTAAAGGAGTTTAGATGGTATGTTTCTGCTTGGTGCTCTTTTTTCTGCTTTGGACCTACATTCTGGATAGTTACTCAGCATGCTCCTGTTGTAAATACAACAAACATGTATCAACTTACTTGTCTTATAAAAATGAAAAACTTAAAAATGTAAAAACAGACCTTCATATAAACTCCAGAGTCAGGGCTGCTTCCTTAGGCTACATAATGTTTAGCACATAAGAGACTAAACATGTAGCTCACCACAATTAGGGGACAGCCCAATGATCTTGTTATTGTGACTGTGGACTCTTCTTCTGAAAAAAAGAAAAGAAAAGTGAGTTGTGTGTTGGGTCTGGTACACGTCCACATGGAAAGAACCTATATAAACATATGGTTTAATATAGGTTTTGATTTAGGTTTTTGAAATATGTGACAAATATAAAATTGGCTGTTTTCCTATATTACATTTACATATATGGGTACATATATGCACACCTATATGTTAAATTATTAATATTATAAATATTATAATTATTATGTAAAATTATTCAAATACATGTCTGCTACATAATTTAAAAGAAATTAAAATATATATATTTACTTAATCAAATATTACAAGAAATAATTATAGTGCAAGAACAAAAATAAGGCAAAAAAAAACAATAAAGGAAAGAAAACAAAATTTTAAAAAATGACAAACCATTTTGTTTTACATTTCTTTCTTTTCCACTATCTTTATACAAGAAAGAATTGACCTTGAAAATGTTTCAGGAAAACGTGTAGACATCATAGCTTTCCATTTCCTCTCACTTATTTGCCATAGTTAAATTCCATAACATGCCAATAACATGTGATACAAAAGTCAAGTGGCACATACATAAGTTTTTCGCATTTTTTAAGTTAGTTCTTACCCAGAGAGCAAACCTACGTTAAATTAACATTGAATAAATGTTAAAACATCAATCAAACTATCATTGAAACAACGTTAAAAAATCACCACTGATTTTTAGGCAGTTTTCCACCCTGAAATAATGGTAATTCTATGATGATAAATAGACAAAACTGTCCAAAAAAATCAGCATTTATTCAACCAAAATTAAATCTTTTTTTTTTTTTAACAATGAACCCAACATTAAATAAAATGTTAAATCAACCACACTATCATACAATTAATGTTGAAATTTAAATTTGATTTTTAGCCAGTTTTGCATCCTGAAATAATGTTATTACAATGACGCTAAATAGATTAAACGGTCACAAAATTAGCATGAAGGCCTGGCTCACCATCAAGATGCCCACATTGAAATTGTCTCTCTCATCATCAGGTGGCTAAGAGAGAAAAGAAAAGAGATTCAGCAGTGGACCAGTTATTTCCTTATCACTTTAAACAGACATTACCAAAATAAAGAACTTGTAACATTTCAAATGATGCAATAAATAAATAATTATAATAAATAACTGCTTGGTTTATTTAACAGATTACAGTAGCAATTTAAAAAACCCAGATAAAACACCCACATCAACCCAGTACTTTTTAGTTTGAATACATATTAACAAAATGCTAAATTACAGAAGCAAAATGTGTTCATGTAAACACTTAGTAAAAATATAGGTACAAGTAATTGGTTTTGCCAAATAATAAAAATAAAAGCATCAATATCAAAAAAAAACCCTGACCATTTTACCTCTTTAGCTTGAAAGTTTACTGTCATCCCCTGTACTAAGTACAGATGGTCCAGCACAACTGCCCGAGTTCTGAAAGAGCAAAGACATTCTTGGTAAAATGACAATAGATGCAATGCTAAATATAAATCATTTTTTATTTTTATTTTTTGTATTATTTATAAAAATGCAGTACTGACCAGTCAGCATCAATTTTTACACCAACACACCTACAACAAAAATAACACTCATTCAGTTTGAAACATGCAACGTAGTCTACTTTTATACTTTACATACTTTGTGAATAATAAAAAACTGAAAACATTTAAAACCCCAGCTGTATTTTATTTCATTTGTCTATATCAATTCAAATTTAGTTTGGATTGAACGTAAGATTTAATATTTTTATTTAGATTGCTGTGAAAATGTACCTGTACCTTGTACTTATAACCAAAATTACAGAACCTGGAAGTCAACAAAGCAAAATATCAGTGAACCTTATATGTACAAAACACTTAAACCAAACAGAAAAAACGCTGAACATTTTACCTCTTAAACTTCAAAGTTTACCGTCATCTCCTGTATAAGGTACAGAGGGTCCAGCACAACTGCCTGAGTTCTGAAAGAGCAAACACATTCTTGGTAAAATTACAATAGATGCAATGCTAAATATAAATCATTGTTTATTTTTTTGGTTAAAAAAATGCAGTACTGACCAGTCAGCATCACTTTTTACACCAACACACCTACAACAAAAATAACACTCATTTAGTTTGAAACATGCAGCACGTAGTCTACTTTTAAACTTTAAACTTTGTAAATAACAAAAAAATGAAAACATTTAAAATCCCAGGTGTATTTTATTTAATTTGTCCATATTAATTCAAATTCAGTTTGGATTGAATGTAAGATTTAAGATTTTAATTTAGATTGCTGTGAAAATGTACCTGTACCTTGTACTTATAACCAAAATGACAACATAAACATAAAGCAAATCTTATATCATATATCAGTGAACATTATATCTACAAAACACTCAAAATCAAACAGAAAAACCCTGAACATTTTACCTCTTAAACTTGAAAGTTTACTGTCATCTCCTGTATAAAGTACAGAAGGTCCAGCACAACTGCCTGAGTTCTGAAAGAGCAAACACATTCTTGGTAAAATGACAATAGATGCAATGCTAAATATAAATAATTATTGTTATGGTTAAAAATGCAGTACTAACCAGTCAGCATCAATTTTTACACCAACACACCTACAACAAAAATAACACTCATTCAGTTTGAGACAAACGTTGTGAATAATAAAAAAAATGAAAACATTTAAAATCCCAGGTGTATTTTATTTCATTTGTCTGTATTAATTCAAATTCAGTTTGGATTGAATCTAAGAATTTACCTGTAACATGTACTTATAAACAAAATGAAAGAACCTGAAAGTCAACAAAGCAAAATATCAGTGAACCTTATATGTGCAAAAAAACTGACTCAAAATCTACATAAAAGGTTTCATTTGCGATAACACCATGTGTAGTTCACTCTATTATTAAGGTTTCATTCAAATAAAACTTCTGATCTCCTAATAGTAAAGAAAGTATTATTTGCTATAATGAATCGAACTGACAATTAGTTTGAAGAATTTTAAGACTGTGGAAGAACAACTCATCTTTATATCTTCATATTAGCTGCCCTTGAGGTTCTTAAAAGTGAATAAATAAATATCAATGACAGTTCAACTCGACTACAACAAACATTTAATTGTGTGCTTTAAGGTACACATTGTATTTGAGGCCGAAAACGCATGACAGTGTAAACACTATAAATAACTTTTAAATGTCACACACTTACTGTATCACTCTGTTATCTCTGTACACAAAACACGCGTCGCGAAATGCGGAAGTTTTTTTTTCGTTCCATTTGGCGAGCGTTATTAAAACACTATCATCAGTTCTTGCTTCTTATTTGCGTCTATTACCCAAGTTTGTCACGCGGGATGAATGAAATGTTCATGAGTTAAAGTGAAACTGCCGAACTGCAGTTAAAGTCAGGCATCCTGCTGATTTGATTCAGAAGGGCACTTGTTTGTCAGACGGCTCACCGGTCAGGTATACATCCGCGCTAAAATGTCAAAGTATGAAAGTCACCCAGCTCCCAACCCAACGTTGAGAATAGATTAACGGCGATATATATTTTTTATCGCGCGATAAGTCTCGCGTTAACGCAGCACGTTAATGCTGATAACGGCCCACCACTAATAATAACTTTACGAGTGTGTATTTCCCCTCATACCGAGTTACAAATGCCTCCAATTCACGCGAGTCTAACTTATAACTTAACGTTACTTAAAAACCAGCAAAGCTGTTCCACTGAAACTCGGTCACACAGCCTTAATACGTCGGTCAAACTAAAGCTAACATTTGATAACGTCAGTAAAAATATGAAATTAGTTATTAATATGCAAACAAACACAGATGGTCAGGTGTTACGAGCGTTTGAAACACGTTAACGTTAGTGTTCATTAAAGGTAACGTATATCAACCAAACTACACAGTGTCACAAACTTTGAATGCTATCCCTTGTTCAATGCACTGTACAAAGAAAACATTTATATTTCTATTAAATAATTAACATACCTTTCACACTCTCACAGACAAACTGACGTTTACCGTTAATCCAGTCAGACTCACGCAGGTGCAGAGGGAGTGAGCGGGTGATTGGGACGTCACATCACTTCCCGCGCACGGCAGTTTAGAAAAATACGGACAAACAACTGTAAATGAACAGATACCATATTTACTGATGAGGAAAACGCATAAAAATGTAAAAAATCATTAGGTAAATGCTTGTTTGAATTACATTTAACCACTCATAGCTCGGTTTGATCTTAATGAAATAAAGTCTGATCTTATTAACAATATTAACCGTAATTCGCTGCTGTACTTTCCATGGGCACTTCATACAAGACAAAAATCATTTTAAATAACGATAAAAAGGTAATAAAGCAGTCTTTTAACTAAAATATTGTTATATGTTTTATTAATCGTACTTACCAGGGAAAAAAAGAGGAAGAAATATGTCCGGATGTCCATCAAACGCTGTCTGAGCTGCGATCCCCTTCCCACAATGCAATTCGAAAATGTATATAAACGGAAAAACACCCGTAATACGTGTATACGGAAAAAATCTGTTAAAATATACAGTCATTTAACTGTTATTTTACAGATTTTTTTTACAGTGTACACCTGGAGAAAGGGATAAATTTGACTTTGGAAAATATGTTAGAACCCTGTTTTTCACTTTTTCCAACCAGGGGCGTTAAAGTCTTATCTCCGTGAGCTTCCTGAACCTCTAATGACATTTGAGCTCTATGATGAATGGATTCAAGCCTCAAAGTAAGTACTGATGGTCTCCCCAACACACATGTCATTAAGCATTGTTTGCACCATTTAATTCCTAGGCGGACTTAGTGACCACATAAGTGGACGGCACATTTTAGCTCTTAAGTGGCTATTTAAAATACTTTAAAGGTTTTATATTTTGTTACAGACATACACTGTCATCCTGAAACTGTTTTGCAGCATATGAAATGTACAAGCAATATTTTTTACTGTCCAAAATGGTGGAAAAAATGTTGTTTTTACTCTCTGATAGTCAAAACATGTTTAACAAAATATGTATGTGTTAATAATGCATTAAAAAACATTCAGGAAAAAGTGTTTATGGAAATTTGGACCACAAGTCCACATATATGGACATAATTTTTTCTCTAAAGGTACATCATATCAGAAGATAATACTTAAATTTTTAATCTAATTAAGTTTCAATAAGCCCACATAGCAAAGAAAAATAAATACATGTAAAAAACAGCTTGAGCCTTAAGGGGATAATGATGTTACCACATGAAGCCAATGTACTTCAATATAATTACAATGATTGTTTGTTTGTTTAAATTCTACTTAATCATGAATGCATTGTAAGAAGCTAAAAAAATGCTGCCTTCTTAGCTATATTCTTGCAGCATTGCATAATTTATGGATTGAATTCACCCAGGGTTTTATATAAGTTTTGATTTGTATGCCTATTTAAGTATTGTGTTGGCTAATTACGCGCTAATATTAACACCCTTAGTGCAATGTAATTTGTGGAAGATGTATTCTTATGGTGATGGAATTACTGAGTACACTGGACAATAGATTTATAATTAGAATCATTTTACATGGTGCCTCAAACATTTTTTATAGACTGTTTTTAACACCCTTTTTAAAGTTTACCGTCTATGTTTGGCACTGTGTACAATTCCATCAATGGACATGTATTAGTTTATCAGCCGATTTGGGTGTTTTCTCTTGATTGAAAGGATTGCTATCCGTGGTTGTCAGCTCAAATAATGAGTTCAGTTGCAAAAACCTACAAGTGCCATCTGAAGGTTTTCACCAAAATTGGCATTTAGTTTATTTTAAAGACTTTTAATGTATAATAACTGAACATTAAAACAGGAGGCTAAAATGCTAAGGCTATGCAATAAATTGGCAGACCCCAGATTGCAAGTGACTAATTCATAAAAATCCTTATGATTTCAGTCACATTAAAACTTACAATTTAAAAAAGGAGACATCCCCCCAAGCCCCAACTCATGTCCCCAAACCCATCACCCCCAAGCCCAATCTCATGAGACATGTCACCAAAGCAAACATTTAATGGTAATTGAGCAATACGCCAGATTGAAAATGTAAAACGTATTGAAGAGATGGTAAACAGTTAAACCCAAAGAATGACCAGCCTGTCAGATGAAGAAGAGCCGGAGTCAGAGATTCAAATAAATAAAGATAGTTTGCAGTTTCATCAGCAGAAGCCAGCTTCAACACTTGCAATGAGTTCCTAGGCCGCTCTGCTTACAATCACCAATCAATAAGAATTATACTCTCACATAATGTCAATGACTGCGTCATACATATAGGTGTTCTAACCTGATTGGTTAAAACAGATAGACTAGGAAAATTTCCACATGGGGTGCGTGCATACAATTCTGAACAATATCTTAAGCATACAATCGTCAGACATCCAATAGACCACAGGTGTTAAACTCAGTTCCAAAATGGCCGCAGCTCTGCACAGTTTAGTTCCAACCCTAATTAAACACACCTAATCAAACTAGTTGAGTCCTTCAGGCTTGTTTGAAACCTACAGGTAAGTGTGTTGGAGCAGGGTTGGAACTAAACTGTGCAGGGCTTCGGCCCTCCAGGGATTGAGTTTGACACCCCTGCAATAGACTATGTAGAGCTGACTCCAGATCTGTGAAACAGATCCAACATCAAATAGAACACACACACTTAAAGTCAACCCAAGCTCATTCTAAAAAACGTAGCCCCGCGGACATTTCTGGAGACCGTGATTTACTTGGCCGAAGGTACGCATGGCTGCATTTAGTTTTTTCAAGCAAACTCTATGGGGCGGTGTGACGCCGCTCTTCTTCACACTCGCTTGCTGACGGCTCACCTCCGTTTGGAGGGCTTTCCCATCTCAATCAGTTTGTCCGGTTAGCCCGTCGTGTTACGTCAGCAGAGCAGAGGCCCGGAGGGGAGCCGGCCGTGGCGACGACTGGGTTCGCGTCCGGGGAAGAGCGTTCCAGAAATCAGGGATGACAAAAAACAGAATCCAAAAAATAAAGTGAACGAGTTCATAACGGGGCGAGAATGCGGTGAAATCCAAAAACGCAGTCAAAATCAGGGCTTTTCTTTTTCTGAAAGGCTTTTGTAAATCGTTGTTTGGGATTAGGGAAGGAGGAGGAGGAGGGTAGGTCAGCCGATCGTCCGGCCGCCCATTCAATTGTTCAGTCATTCAGTCAGTCGGGCAGACGGCCTCCGGGAACAGCGCGGGCACGAACGGCGCTCTCGAGAGGCATTTGAGACGCGAAATAGTGAGCACAGCGGCCTCTCACAGATTTGCGAAAACAAAAACTGCACAAACACGTACCTCCCAGGACTTATTTTGCAGTCTCCAGAAATGTCCGCGGGTCTACGTTTCCTAAATAAGCCTGGGTTGCTTAAAGTACAATCTGTTTCTTATCCAAGGCTTAGTGTATTCTCAGCAATTTAGATAGTATTAATTCATAAATAACAATTGAAACAGTTGCTTCTTGTCCTCAGCCCTCAGTTCCACTCAAGATTTCCATGACCTCTGATCTAGTTTGGTGGCACCTGAAAATAGTTATAAAGAGGCAAATGGTCTGAAAATTCTTACATAAAGCTGTGTGTTAAATTATTCATTAGTTTAAATCAATTTAAAGTTAAATAGTCAAATAATCATATTTCATAAAAACAATGAGAAACAGCATGATGAGGAAAGGATAAACGTTGATTCATGCTGAGATGGATTGGAAGGTATAAATCTGAATCCTTCAGTATGATTTTAAAAAGGAGTCGTGTCCCAATCCCCAACCCAAACATAAGTATGTTTATGAGCAAGGCTGTTGTCATTTCATATGAATGGTTGATAGCCAGCATCTGAGCCAACTAACAGGTCCAGGCAACACTTGGATGGTAGATAACAGCTTAACTAGCAGTTGTAGCAGGCCCCTTCTTGCCCATATGGACTGATAACGTTCGAGGTTACAGAAGTAACCCTTCGTTCCCCGAGGAGGGGAACGGAAGTGCCATGAATGGGAGGATTCGTATCAGAAGCCGCTTATCTGGAGAGTATTGAACGGGCCAATGAATGAAATTAATTGGCAGCGTAAGCTTGCGCAGGTGTGCGACATCTGCAATCATCTCAGCATATAAGCACACCTGAAGCCAGCAGACGCCATCCTTTTAAGCTGAAGAGACTTTCAAACAGCTAAGGGACAGTCATTATGGCGACGGAATATGGCACTTCCGTTCCCCTCCTCGGGGAACGAAGGGTTACTTCTGTAACCTCGAACGTTCCCCTTCGGTTGGGGAACTTCAGTGCCATGAATGGGAGAATATGGAAAGCGCCATAATGACTGCACCTTACCAACACCCCCGATGAGGAGATAGTCAAGCAAGCGTGACGCACCCACATCATGGGGGGCGCGGTCCTCCAACGTGTCCCTGGCCCTAATTTATCCTACTTCAACAGAAGTTTTACGGATTTAGATATATTTTTTTGGGAAGTCGTGAGCATCTAGATAATTCTAGGAAATACGACAGTACGTTGGGAAGCGTGCAATCCCGATAGGGAGGACGCTGCGGAGGCCATCCGTTACCCAAGGGGGGGATAGATGGCAGAATTTACCTATGGACTAGCCCTAAAAAGGGGGAGTACGCATAGCAAAGAGTGGTTAGCGGAGAGGGAAGACACGGGTCCGCCCAGGGGGGGGACTTAACCGTGGCGGAATAAGCATATGGGATCGCCTAGTGGGGATCACGCATAGCAGGCACCTATACCCAAAACGCGGGCTGACAAGCGGGCAGACCTACAACGTAGTGGGCCAGCAAGTGACTCCTCCGCTGAGTCAGTGCTGGGGGCCACGGAGGAATCTGCAGGGCTCACCTGACGGGGAACTTTACTGACAGATAAAAAAGGCGCACGTACCTCCGTGTTAGGGAGAATGGCGCAGCAAGCGTGTTTCAACACCCTACCGAGTTGTCTCCTCAATCACCAAAGGGTTACCTAATACCCTTGAGGAAACCGGCTCCACTCGCAGATTGTAAAACCTTGCAAATGTGTTGGGTGTCGCCCAGCCCGCAGCTCTACAGATGTCTGTTAGAGAGGCGCCGCGTGCACGCGCCCAAGAGGATGCAACGCTCCGAGTGGAGTGTGCACGTACTCCCGGGGGACACGGCTGACCTCGACTCGAATAAGCGAGTGAAATGGCATCCACAATCCAGTGGGATAATCTTTGTTTCGATACGGCACTTCCCTGCTGCCGACCGCCATAACAGACAAAGAGCTGCTCAGATGATCTAAAATTCTGAGTACGGTCCACATAAATGCGCAGAGCGCGAACTGGACAAAGTAAAGAAAGGGCTGGGTC